AGCTCACAGTTGCAGCTGTCTGGGGAGAGGACACTGTTCCCACAGTGACCGCTCAGATACCGTCAGGAGAAATGAGGGGGGTGGGGGCAAAGCTCCCACAAGGGGCCCAATCATTTTGGGGGCCCTTTGGGTCTTTCACAGGTTCAACAAACCCACGTCGTGGTCAAGCTCTGTGCTGGGCTGCCACACAAACCCACACAGTGAGTAATTTACTTCCCAGGGCTTTCAGTGGGTTTACTCTAAGGGGGAAAAGGACTGTTAGTTTTAAAAATAAACCACAGCTTAAAACTAATGTTGCATGAGCAAAGCTCCATGTGGCTTCCCGTGGCTCCAGGGGGATGAAAATCACAATATGCAAGTCTGGTGCAGGGATTCCTTTGTGTGTGTGTGCAGGAATAAAAATAGATGTGGAAAATAAACATACGTTGCTTCTAGGTTTTTATGCATAACTTTGTTAGAGGTCCTTTATATGAACTGGACCAGCACACCATAGATATTTGGAAAACTGGCCCTAGATAGCAGCCAATATTTCTAATGTGCCTGTATATCAGCTGGACTTGCGCAGATACAGAATCCCGTTATGCCTGGCCAGCATTAGCAAGCCTTCATGGAGCATGCACGGCATGGGCAAATATGCCATATCGGTGAGATACAACCGTGTCTGAAATTGATTGTCAAATGTTGTCAAGTTCTTAGTTTTTTAAATACAGCAGTGAAAGCAGTGATGCCATATATATTGGCATATAAGGTGACTTTCTTATAAGAAGAGGTCAATATTTTGGGTTGTTATTCTGGTGCTTGTCATATGTCAGGTATAAGATGACCCCCAATTTTTGCTTTGCTATTTTTGTTTCAAGGGCCATCTTATACACTGGTATATACAGTATCTGCCTCTGTTTTTCATCTGATTTCTCCAGAATACTAATATGAAGTAAATTGGTGGTCAAGGAATAAGCTGTAAGGTATTTTATACTGAGACCAGCATACTTTAATAGGATACATTGCATTTCAGATATTATCAGTACAAAAGAGTAGTGATTACAACAGATTCTGTTTGCATGAATTGCTGATAAGCAGGGATTTCTGAAATCAGAATTAGATTTATGCACCTAGCAGTCATAGGTAGGTGGAAATAACTTGGTGAGACAAACTTGTGTTTCAGCAAGAACGCCACTTTCAATTCACAATGCCCAAAATTTTATTAATAGGGAAGCTGGAGAAATCTGCAGTGAATTCAGTTGAGTTCAGATTTCTCTGAATCGGACCTGTAGATTCCACAGTCAACTGCTGCCACCATCCCTGCCCAAGTCTTACAGATTCCATGAATTTGTGGACTTTTTTCTCTTCTGGGGAGGATCTGCTGTAGCACTAATTCACATCAGTAAATTAGGACAAATGCACATCAGTGTGAATGTAAATTCTGGTTAAAACAAATCTGATTCAATCAATAAAACATGCCAGACAAGCCATGAAACGCACACAACACAGAATGAAAAAGATTACATCCCTGCCTATCTCTAAAAAACTTAATTTTAATCCCTGTAACTCACAAATAACTTTGATTTTATGCAACAAGAGAAATACAGTGAGTAATGGCAAACTGGCTAAACTTGCAAAAAAATAAATATAGACAAATCTAACATTATATGAATGTAGGTGGTGGCAAGGGCAGCTAAAAATGGGTAGGAACGAGGAACTACTGTTGTGCCCAGGTTTGCCATTGATCTGACGTTAAACTGCACCCTGGGGGCTCTGGAAATGGTAAGCCCTTCCTTCCTTCACTCTGGTCCCTCCTGCTATGTACTTCTCTGTTTCCATCTTTGTGAAAGACTAGAGGTCCTGGATGTTACTCTACTCAGCTTGCATGGAAGTTTCTGGGGGCTAATCAGTATATTTTGCTTCACTTAAATGTAGTCTAGGAAGTTCACAAAACATGAATCAACCACCTAAATCCTGAAGTATAACAAAAATGTATGTTTATTTTTAAATAATGGAAAAATTATTCTCGGCTGACTTGTTGGAGGAAGCTGTACTCAACATTTCACCATTGTTTATTCTTAAATAACTAATCATCCCTCCTTGATCTTTCAAAAGTTCCTGGCATTTCACTGGTTTACACATTGATTGAATACTGTTCCCAGAACTGCAGGTGGCATGGTGCCAAATGCTGTGATAATCAGTTGTAAGATTTATTCCAGTTGAGAAGTATTATAAACAGAAGGATTCATAAGGTTCAGTGTTGAAGATGAATACTAATGCTTTCCTTGAGATGGGTGAAAACTCCTCTCTCTCTCTCTCTCTCTCTCTCTCTCTCTCTCTCTCTCTCTCTCTCTCTCTCATTACCTTTGCAAGCTTCCAATATGCTAGTCTTTACAATCTCCTTCTGCAGATAGAATTCATTTTGAAAGACAACCTCATTAAGCTTGGCTTGATATATACATTAATAATTATCAGAAGATTTACAAATTAAAATATAGCCTTTCAGTGACACAACACTGTGCCGTTTTTGCGGGGTGAAGGAACCTTTGGAAAATCCATGTGCTGAGAACTCTGTATACTACATTGCATATAGGATCATCAGATATAATTTCTACAATAGGAGAAAATCTCCTTAATGGATGGGTGGTGCAAAGAAGGAAAAGAAGATGAAGAGATTCAGAAGAACAGGCAGGATTTATCAAATCAGAAGGAGAATATTTTAAAATTTCAATGTAATATATTTTAATGTACCCTATTTTAAAGTAATATAGTTTAGAAAATGAAAATCAGTAAATCCACTGTGGTCATAAAATACTTGTACATACATTTTGCCTGTCTAAATCCAGATGAGATTTTGTGAAGATGCTGCTCGCAGAACAGAAGAATTAGAATAGCTGGACCAAAACATATGACTCAGTACAGCTCCCTATATCTTTATAACTTAATTTGCACAAGTGGCAAAAACTGCAGGAATTGCAATGCCTAGGCATGAATGATTAGTTAAATGTATCTGAATTTCTCATGTCTCATTAGGTGTGGGTAGAGAAGTCAGCTCTCATGAGTAGCCAAGGCATGACCAAATTGCTAGAGCAACCGATTTGTTAACCTCAGTCATAGGTAACCATGTTTACCTGGTTTGCATGATTCCCTTGGCTTAAACGAGACATGGGGCACCATTTGCCTACTTATCTGCCTGGCCATATCTTGTCATATCATGCCATTCGCATTTGGATGACCCAATAGGCCACTTCCTCGGGGTTCAGATCTACACAGCTTCACTGTGGAGGGATGAACCAATCTTTATGGTCATATAATACCAGAGGTTTGATGTGACTTCTGTGGAAGAAGAAAATGTTCTATCTAGGTTTGGACTAAGGATAGAAGTCAAGCACGGTTACTTAGAGACTCAGACTGATTTTTAGGCTAGAATTGGGAAGCGTGTCTCATACCACCTTTGTGAAGCTTTACAACTTGCATAGTTAGATATGTCTTAGAAGTAGGTGGTTAGAAAACTGTGGCAGTTCTGTGCTTCCTGAGTTTTACTGCTTTAGTTCCTGTTACGCTGTTGGGTAACTTTGTCAATATAAACCTAAGTTAAACTGTCTAAAGTGTACTACTTCATTTTTCTACTGATCTTTAAACAATAACTATGTTGACATTACTTTGACATTATGCAGCATTTTTACACAATGACTTTTATTTGAATTATAAGATCATTGGGTGCAGCTCTGTGTATAAAACCCATGAATCTGGTTCATGTCCAACAACATAGCTTGGGCCACAGTGGGATGGTGGTGGTGCAGGGACTACGCACATTGTTACCTCAGCCCTGCTTTCTACTTCACTGACATATTCCCAGAGTGATCACAGCTGTTGGTTAGTCTTTATGGTCATATAATACCAGAGATTTGATGTGACTTCTGTGGAAGAAGAAAATGTTCTATCTAGGTTTGGACTAAGGATAGAAGTCAAGCACAGTTACTTAGAGACTCAGACTGATTTTTTTTTTTTTAACTCACCACTGCAAGGCTCATTATGACAAGCTTTGATCTACCATGCCTATGACTCTACCGTGGATAAATGGCATTGTATCATTCAAGAAGAATTATGGAAGCATTATGAATCCCTAAGGCTCTCACATATTGCATCTTGATTCATACTTAAAATATAGATTCTGTCAAGTTGAGGGTAAGCTCTTGGTTTAACAAGAACAGGAGCCACTGCTAAATGGCATTTCCAAGAGTCAATATAAGGAGGTGATTTATTTATTTATTTATCTATACCTTCTTATGCTCACTCAGTCAGTCACTCATTGGGTGGGGGGAAGATGGTGCCATATTTCATTTTCATTGTCAGCCAATCAATGCATTTTATTAATCTAATTTGGCTAAAGAATGGCACGCTGTATCTATTGATGTCATGTCAGTATTCAGGAATGAAAGGCACCACGCTGTACTTAAGTGTTTCACTTAACAATCACGGACCATTATTGCTGAGGATGATGGATATTTTTCAAATGTTCTGCCTTTTCAGCAGTGGCTGAACCTACTTTATTGCTGTGTTCATGGGAAATTTTGGATAAATTTCCCTCAATCAGCTATTAGCATTAATATTTAACAATATATATGATGCAAAAGGCATCTAAATTTATGGATGATAAATGTGTGGAAGGAAATTGATAGATTTAATCACATGGGATAATAAATATTATTAGCTATATTGACCAAACACCTTTGGTGGATTGATGAGTTGCTTTTTTCCACAGCAGGTTACTAAAAATTAGGTATGTGGAGATTCTCCTATGAGTGTTTCTTGGTGAGGGGATGGAAGTTAGCGTGGAAGCTTCATTATTTAGCTTTAGAATGGATTCCAGGCTTGGAAATCAAAGACAAATAGCCTGTCTTCTTCATATGAAATGACTGACTGAAATTGTTCATGGGCTGGAAGGGGCTTAAACAAACAGGAGAACTACTGATCTTGAGATACAAATTCATCCTGTTTAGGATAACTGGCACTAGGTGAAGGGCGGGTGGGGGGGGCACTTCAGGATCTTCCCTTTCTTCTGGATTTCAATCTGAAGTTGCCTCTGCCTAGCTTGCATTTGTTTCTGGATAAGGCAGAATTGGTCTTGATTACATACACCTTAGCTTTATTAAGATCAGATTATGATCAAACCCTCTTCGTGGGTCTGCTCTTAAAGAAAGCAAAGGTGGTTGAAAATATAGGCACAAAATTATTGATTGTGCCAGTTATTTGAAATTTTTAATTTTACTTTCTGAATGAGTCCACCAGTTGCCAGTCAATTTCTAGGCAGTTTGAAGTGCTAATTATACATACTTTAAGTTCCTAAGCAGCTTGAGAGCAGGATACTTTGGCTATTGGGTTATATAGAAATGTCATAAAGAAACAAAGAAAAAACTAGAAGGATTGTCTCCCTTCCGAATGATCCAGTCCATTTCCTGTGTCAGCAGAACCGGCCCTTTTGCATCTTCCACTCCCGTTAGAAACATGGTTGGTGAGAATCAAGAAAAAAATTCTCAGCTGCAGCATCAAGAAGGTAGAGCTCTCTCCTCATCTGGCTTCAATGGAAAATGCTTTTGCTTGAGCAAGGATTTGACTGTAGGGTTTTCCAGTCATTTTTCATGTGTTGGTTCTCCTTTGGTTATCTGTATTTTTAAGTAACTGATTAGCTGAAGTACTATGTGCTTCATCTTTGCAGTCATATATTTAGTTATTTTTAAATTTATGTGCCTCCCTCTTGTCCTAGAGGAGTCTCTAGGTGGCTTACAGTAAGCAATCAATTTTGCTTATATTTAAAAACCCTAAGAAACAATAAAACCCTTATATAAAACCAGAACCATATAACACTTGGCCATTAAAATTATATAATGTGAGCAGAACAAGAACAGATTAACCAAACAATTTAACTCAGTTATTAAAGCAATTATTAAAACATCTGGAGAAGAGGAATGTTTTCGCTTGGCACTGAAATGCGAATAATGTTGGCACCAGACAAATTTCTCTGAGGAGCCTATTCCATAAATGAGGGGCAGCCACTGAGAAGGTCCTTCTTCTGTTTGCCATCATCCTCACTTCCTTCAGGGCTCTCTCAGAAGGCCCTCCTGCCCTGGACTTAATGGGTGGGTAGGTATATATGGGAATATTTTAAATCCTCTTAGCCACACTGAGTTATCTGATTTGGAGGAGATCCTTCATTATGGAAACTGGCATACACACATACTGGAATGAACTATAGAGTTCTCCATGCATTCCTGTGTGGAGGTAGATGCCTGATCTTTTACTGCAACCCTTCTCCACCCATGGCTGAAAAATGCAGTCACAGTACAGTTCCTCTCCTTGCTGGAAACAGCATGTGGCTGGTACAGATCTGTCAGTTTCACTTTATGTAGGAGAAAGTGAAACTGACACACTCAGCCCTGGATGCAACAGAAGAACCAGAGCCAATCAGGGTAGAAGGAACTAGTGCTGAGGAAGCGTTTCCAGTTATTAAGCAGCTGACGCTGTCCAGTTCACTGTCACACTGCAAATCCTGTAGAAATCTTAGCAGCTGAAACAAACAAATCAAACTCTGCCTAAATACTGCTACGATTCTATTGAAATAAAAATCATTCTGCTTTTGATATTTTAAGAGGGAGAACATCACATATATTTCAGGGTCTGAAATGGGACTGTGGGGAAAAGGGTTGGCAAAAGTAATATTTTATGAGCTGGCACAGACTAACTAAACTGCAGTGCCTGCCTGGATCGTGCTTCTGCAGAAGTGAAAACAGCGAGGCCTCTGCTCCCCCCACTACCTATTGCAAGGAGAATTCATAAGGTGCCCCATAACTCAGTTATAAGTACCTCCGGGAACCAGTTAATTATGTTAACAGGTCAGGAATGAAATAGCTTTGGTACCCTTCAGTCTGGAGTAACACACTGTAATTGCTGGACAGTAAGAAACTCATTTCTTCATTAAGAGGCCAAGGGAGCTGAGAGCCAAAGTTCACTGTTGTGTTGGAGTCTGGGATCTTGAGGAGGGTGTTGGTGTCATGAACACTTCCCTGGAATCCTGTGGAATAAGGACGTCTTATAGATGTTAAGAATGCATAGCCCCCCACCCCACCATGCGCACCGGCGTTCAGCGAACGTGTGGAAGCAGAGTGGACTTGTGTTCATGGCAATGTGCTGACTAGCCACCCTTCCCAGCAGCTGCATTTCCTCATTAGTGTGAAAGGCTACTTAGTGGAGGGATGATTGACGACATGGCAAGTGTGATAGAAAGGGGGTGTTTGCATGAGAGACGGCAGCTGTCACTAACCTTTGATGCTACTGCAGCGTCTTTGTTGATCCACTTAGCTGCAGATGACTCCCTTAAGGTCCGCTCACATGGATGCTTGGGCAGGCAAGAAGTGCAACTGCTTTGGCAGCTCCAACCAGCCACGCTGACTGAGGAATGCTGGGAGTTTTGGCCTTGTTTCTGTCAAACATGCATAAGGTTGTGGCTTTAAGTTCTTATCCAACAGTGAATGAGAACAATCATGTAACAACTTGTAGCTTGTCACACTGTGAAAGGGACGCACTGGAAAGCCAATTGTGTGTGATGTCTTGGAACTGCCAACCAGAGGAGACACTTATCATGCCTCTAAACACAAACAATGAAATATAAATATAAAGAAGGAGGATTTGGGGCAACATTCACAATGCTTGGTGGGAGTTACATACAACCAGATTTCTACTTGGTAAGTTGCTGTCTCTATTCACTCCAGTTCAGAGGCTAATATGAGGTAAGGGCTTATTACTCCTTATCTTGGAACTGCTGATAATGGCAGCATAATTTTGCAGTCCAATTTCACTGTTGTTCCCAAAGTGACTCTCTAGCAATATCCATGTAGCAGTTAAAGTGAACTTGCTGATTTGAAGTTATTTGCTCTTTAAACCTCCTTCTGCTTTTCCCTGAGTCTCAACACCATATACAAGTAAAGTGGATATTTTTGTCTCTGATCTGAATCAATCTGGCCGTTTCTCTATCTAACATACAAAAGGAGGAGTCGATACCACTCAAGCAAACAGAAGTTGAGAGCAGTAAAATCACAAATGAGCAATGTTTTTTCATCCATGTATCTTTTTCAGATTCCTGGGATTGCAGAGACATGAGCCTGATGTACTTATTCGGAGAGGTTTTTCTAGCACTGTTCATAATTAAGTCTTCTCCAGGCACTCAGGGCTTGGGGGAGAAAAAGTTACAAACCAGAACATGTCCATCAAACTGCTTTTTCTAAGCACTGACAGCTCTAAATGTAGTCAGCTGCAATACAAGCTTGTCCTCAAATCCTTGACAATGACCTTAACCTTGGGGTGAAAGATAATGTAGTTGCTATGCTCATTCTACAATGAGGGTGTACTGATCAGAGGCATATGATAAAATGTGTGTGCGTGTGTGCATTCCTTCTCCTGCAAGCCATTGTTGCTGGCAAATGAAGTGATACTATAACATTATCTCCTTGACAGTTTGCATTCCATGTCCCTCGCCCTCAAGTTTCTAAACACAAAAGAATACCAAGAATTCAGGCAGGCTCTCCAGACAGATGAGGTTGCAATAGGACCATCCTAATTCATTCTGAGAGGAGAAGAAATGGTTTGGAAAATCAGAGGGGAAAACTTTGGGGAACTTGTCATGAGCTGAGTTCAGGGTTCTTGTGCTTTCCTTCTCAGATGGCTAAGAAGTGTACTCGAGTCCTCTCCTCGAGTACAGAACAGGACACTCCAGTTCACTGTGCGGTGGTCTCTAGCCTCCTCAGACTGCACGCTCTAGTGTAAGCCCAGGGGAAGGCCTCATGAGGTCAATCTTCCTACAGAGCTTTTTTCTGATCAGGAAACACAAGCAGCCTGAGGGACTGAGGAGTAGTGGAAAAATGTGAAAAAGACCCCCTCCACACACACACACACACATGCATATGTACATACATTCAAAACACTCTGAGTCTCCTCAGACTGATTAGATAACGTCAAACTACCACTAAAACAAATTCAAGATAAATTATGCTTTTTTTAAACCTGAGGATGGGTAAAAAAAATGGGTGCCCCATTCATGGGGAAAGTATGAGGATAATACAGCTCTATCTCCATTTATTTCCTGAAGTTAGTCCCAATGCTCCTTGCTCATCAAAGAGCATGCAAAATGAGGGCCAGGTTGCCAATGCAGTGGTTACTGTTGCTGTGGGAGCACAAGCCCCTTCTATGAAATACAATTCAAAACAAAGCCTCTTCAGAAGAAAAGGAGCAGTGACAGAAAGTGGGCCAACAGGGAGTCCTGCCTGTACAGGGGGGCTTTTCTACCCAAAGCACTGATCCTGAGCATGTGCTCCCTTTCCACACAAGTCCATGTGTCCCCAAGGGCCTCCCCTGCATTCTCCAGCCAGCTTTGCAACTTTATTTCAGTGCAAGGATGAGACTCAATTTTCCTGGATCACACCATTCTTCTCTTTGAAAGCCTTGACTATAGTCTAAATTCTGCTCTATACTGCAGTAGCCCCTTGTGTTGTATAATGGAACACATACGACATATAGCAAGGCAGAAAGGAAAGACCCCAGAAGAAAATCTTTGTGCAAATGGACACCGTTCCTTCTGCAGAGGAAGCAGAAGCAGCAACTTTGGTAAAGCACTGGGTTAAATGCCTCGTACAGAGAAGCCCGAAGTGGCAGAGACTTTATTTTCCCCTTGGAAACAGTCTGAAATTGTCCCCCAGTTTCTCTGCCCACACACAGGGTGAGAAGAGTAGATAAGGGTAGCTGTTACAGCCCAATAGCTGAGATACTTTGAAGCCCAGCCTCACCTGGGGACAAGGCTGTTGTGGTCAGGATGGTGACAGTGTTGTGGTCAGTTTCTCTCAGAGAGACACGAAATTTTTAGGCAACATTCTGAATGGAAATGCACATTCCCTTTGGCAACAGAAGGGCAGGAAATGTTCAGGAATTTATTTCCGACCAAATTTAGAAATGCTGCATCAAGAAATAGTAGAGTGGTGTAAAATTACACTAAAACAAAAGTTACAAAACAAAACAGTAAAAGAAGCCAATATAGCAATAAGACAATGATTGGAACTCGCTCACAAATCAGGAAATGCCTGCCTGAACTGAAAAGTCTTCAGCAAATGGCAAGGACAAAGTATCACTTTCAGTTGGAAGGGCATTTCCCTCTTTGTGATGGTTTCCAAAAGTTCTCTGACTTATGTAGAACTGTGAAGAGTATGGACCTTTTCAGAGGATCTCACTGATTGCAAAGGATGTTAAAGAAGAAAGTGTGTCCTTAAGTGGCCTGGTTCCAACTGGAACAGCAATTTCAGTACAGGTGTGAACTGCTGAAATGGAGCTGAAACCAGATCTGGGCATGTGAAACTGGAGTGGCAGATTGCTCTGCTTTCTCCTCCCTGATGCACACAAGATTGGAGGATCCTGCTGACCAGGGTTCACGGAAGTATGGGGTGGGGTGGGAGAATTCCTGAAAGCTGAGTGCAGCAACCTTCTCAAGCAGCAAAGCGCTTCTGCCCATGGATCCTAGTTCCAACTCCAACCCATTGCATGTAATGTAACGTTCACTTTAAAGGGTCAGTCATTACTTGTCATGCCTGAAGTCCCGACAGACACAGCCCCTCACAAGGTGGTCTTGTACTTGGGACCCTGTATCCAAAAGCCAACCCCGCAACCTAGCTTGAGGGTGGCTGAGCAGATAGCTGCACCTCCCCCTGACTCCCTGCCCATTGAGCAAACACCCGAGCCCACATCAAGCAAGAGAGCCCCAAGGGAAAAGACACCGCTAGTTCTACCCAGGAGGAGTCAGAGCAGACTGTCCCTCCTCCCACTGACACTGAACTTCCTGAACATGACACAGGAGACGCAGGGGACGTAATAGACTTCTATCTAGCAACCAATCGCAGAATTCTGAGGAGGTACGAGCAAAGGCAGAGCTTGTTACGTCAGAGGGAAGAAAGGCGTGACCAAGAGAGCTAGTCCCACGTGGGCTCGGGGAGAGACACCACTAGAGGATTAACATCTGCATTCCAAAGACCTCAGCAGAAGAGCTTATCTATTGAGTTGTAAATCTTGTAGACAAGTAGCAATAAAGGACTCTAGTTTTATTGCTCGTGAACGTGTGGGTTGTTTACATGTTGAGTACCACCTCGACATTACTGGACATACAAGATATTGCAGCTCTGTCCTTAGACAGAAAAGAAAAGGGTAGAGTCCCCTCACATGGAAGATGCAACAAACCAGGCCATGAGCCTGGGGGACGCCCCCCCCCCCCCAGTTCTTCCCAACCTCTTCTTGCCTCCTCTGCCCATGCCATATCCAGACAAACTCTTCTACCAGACTACAGTTTGGGACAGTTTGTTCGTTTATTCCGTATGGCATTGGTACAATTAGCCAGGAAGTCGACAGTGCTAATGAAGGGTAGTTTGGCTGCCTAAGATGGCTAGCTCTTCCATTCATGCTCGTGTGCTATCCAGGGTGCATCACAGGGGGTGAGATGGAACAGTAGTATGGTAGCACACACACAGCAGGCCTGGAAAGAAATCTATTATTTATTTATTCAACTTGTATTCTGTGATACTAGTCTGAAGACTCTCTAAGTGAAAAAGGAAGTTTAATGGAGTTTTTAGAAGGTGTGGAAACAGTGAGAAACACTGATGTGCTTATTTTATATTGTTAACTTGTTTTATATTGTTAATTTATAGTATTTTAATTGATTTATTTGTAAGCCACCCTGAGGCTTCAGCGAATGGGGCGGCATAGAAATTTTCTAAATAAATAAATGTAATATCGACACCTCATATGGATGCAGTATTTGTGGGCAGGATAGGCTGACGATGAGACAATCATGGCTTATCATTTGTTTAATTAACTTTTAATTCCTTCATTGCCACCTTGTTAGAGTAGATATTCACCCCTCAATTCTACAGTAGATGTGAAAGGATGTAAGATTCGCATTTGAAGATGGGTGCTGGTTTTAATGTTCAAGGTATCAGTGTGGGCCGGATTCACAGATTCAGCTACCAGCTTCATGGCTGCTTGGAATGCAGTGCCATGGAGGCTACATTCTGCATGCAAGCAGGGGACTTTCTAAGCATATCAGTGCAAAGAACAAAGAGCTTGGTTGAAATTGTCAAGGAGTCTTCATGTGGAGGTGCCTTAATTAGCCTGACTTCATCTGCACACTGAGCATTCTTACCAAATTTTGGTTTGGCCTTTCCTCCAGGGCAATTTGCCTGGACTTGCCACTGTTTCCTCCTAATAACCCTTTGAGGTTACATGGAAAGACAGTGACTATCTCAAGGTCTCCTATTGCATAAAGATTTGAACCCACATTTCTGTGTAACATCACATTATTTCTCTATGT